CTGTTTACAAATATCCACAACAGTTGTTCTAAATTTCTCGAAAGAACTGTTAGTGTCTAAGTTGTAAAACAAGCTATCCCAGTTAATTTCTAGAAATAGATTGTTCAAGTCAAAAAAGTTGCAACGCTTAAAATTAAAAGAAAGATATGATGTATCGTTTCTAACTTTGGCAAATTTATAAAATTCAAAAGTTATGACTAACGGAACATGATGCATGTCAGACTTCGTCACAGGTGAATCGCATTTTAGCAATGTGTAGTTTAAATTATTACTTAAAAATACTAAATCTAAGGTGCGACCAAGTAGATTTGGGTAACAATTAATTTGCCCTAAATCAATGCTTAAAAAGCTATCTATTAAATATATTTCATTCAGGCTAGTAACATCACTCGCTATTAATGAAGAACTGGAAGTATTCCGAGACCAATTTATGTTAGGAAGGTTGAAATCGCCTAGCACGCAAAGATGGTCGCCTCCTAATTTGTTCAGAGCCAATGCAACGATGTTGTCGACATGCGCTGTATATAGGTCATGGCTACTGTTGGGCGGAATATACGAAGCACAAAGAAAAATTGAGTCTGAGGTGCCTCGGATAAGAACACAAAGTTGATCAAGCAGCGCATCATTAATATTAGGTGCATCCTCAGAAGCGTGATGTTTGCAGTGCACTGCGATGAGAACTCCACCTCCTCTAGCACATCCAGTGAGGTTGGCATTTCTATCCTTGCGGAAGACATTATAAAGCTTGGGGTCGAAAAACTCCTCGCTATTAAAGTTCTCATTTAACCACGTCTCAATGATAACGAAGACATCATAATCCTGATGTGAACTGAATAGCCGCAAGAGCTGGGATTTTGTTCTAACACCAGCCATGTTTTGCATGTAAATTTTTAGGCCACTGATTGTTCCACCGGGCCCAACCGATTGCCGTTGGACATCGGTTGGACCTCGTCGTTTTTTGACCCAAATTTAAATGGCCGCACAGCTATATTTGTAGGCCATAGCTCTGGCACCAATAGCTTTTGAAGTGAGCTGGCTTCAACACCCAGCTTAAAGTTAATATAACGCAGAGATTTGGGATCCACGCCAGCCTTTACCAATGGAATACAGACGATAGAGTTTTCGTCTATCCCGGTATGTTGAGAAATGTGCGATGTTAATTTTTCGGATGTAACCGAAGCAGAGAAAGGCGAGATATGCAACCACTTCCTTTTCGTAACAGCACTTAAATCACCATGAATTGCCGACCCAACAACTAAAGGTTGCGCTAGTAAAGGCAAATTATGTTGTTTACCATTATTTGGGGTGGGTCTAATGTTGGTATTTGCAATTGCAGCATTATTGTTGCTTTCAGCACTATCCGGATTTGAGCTAGTACCTGCTTCAGCATTATCATTGTTGGGAGCGCGTTCTCGGTTGATTTGGTTTTTATTATTATTTCTTCGTTTGTTATTTTTTTTATTTTGCACTCTTTTCCATTCGTTTTGGTTACCAACAACTGCAGGAGGGTTGTCAACAATAACCGAAGTAGGCGAAGAAAATTGAGAGGCAGGGGCGTTAGGAATTGGCGTCGCAGTTGAAATGTTAGCAGCAGCATCGTTGGGCAGCATTATTGCCGGTAGATGAGTAGCTGTACCAGCTGATATAATAACAGCATTAGCATCGACGTTGACAGAGCCAGTATCAGTTGAAGTGCTAGCAGCAGCAGCATAATTAGAAGAGGGTAGAAGAGTAGCGGATGCAGTCTCAATCTGATTGTAAAGTCTCCCGGCCTCTTTAGCGGCGCCGTCGGCAGAGCCATTAGCGCCCGTTGACATGCAAGAAGAGGCTGGGTGCATAGATGAAGAGAAGTTGTATTTGTTTACACTGCACAGTTTCTCAAATTGTGTGAGCAAATAAGACAGAATGGAATTGTTGTCATTGAGCTTACACTGCACGTCACGAACCTCAGCTTGAAGGGAATCGGTTTTTTGTCGTAAGCACTCATTATCTTCATGCAAAACATTCAAGGCAGAGAGAAGATTAGAGTTAAGTAATTTCAACTCAGCAAAATTGTCATTAGCAGTGTGGGAATTAGGCATTTGCACTTGAGTGGCTTGTTGTTGTTGTAACGAAGAATTATTCGAAGTCATAGACTCGTCTTGTTGATCAGCAGCACACAAACCACAAATGTAGATATTGTCAGCATTATTTAGGTTATTTAAGTCGGCAGGCAGGCTACCAACAACACAACTCAAATGGAAAATTTCTCTGCACTGATTACATTGCACTGAAGTTTGGGCGCGCTCAACTCTATGGCCACAAAAAACAGGGCATAATGTAGCAAATATTAGAAAATGATAAGCACAGGAAAAGAAAAACAGAGTCAATGTCTTTAACACAATTTTAATTTTAATTGTTGTGCGACAAAAAATAAAAGCTCGAATTTAAGAAAAACTTAGAGCGCAGCAAAAACACGTCTGTTCACGACAAACTCTCTCTTGTTATAGGGTTATGTATTGAGTTAATTGGACTTAGTTTAAAAGGATAGTCAAAGTATGCTTGGGAGTTAGTGGAATAATTGGATTTAAAAAACTGAGCGCTAATGCGCTAGAAATGTTGGTGGAATATTTTATTTTTATCAATAAAGAATAATAATACTAATAATAATAATAATAATAATAATAATAATAATAATAATAATAATA